ACAATTAATGTTAACTAAACCTATTGTAATCATTTCAAAAGATATGTAAATCAAAGCATCATGTGGAACACTTTAAACTTACGCAAGGATGTATGTCAATTATCCTACCTAATAAAGAGGGAATATGCTAATTGACCTTCACACTCTCCCAAAGATGGCGGCGCCCACAACCAATAAGGAGGGAACATGCTAATTGCCTGCCACACCTCAAAGATGGCAGCGCTCACAGCCACAAGATGGCGGTGCCCAGTCCCCTCAGCCCCGACAGGGCGCCAAGTGCACAGCAAGGCCAGACCTGCTCCACACACCTGCCTCTGGAGTCCCCCAGTCCCCTCAGTCTCCCAGCCACCCAGGGCTGCCCTAGGCTCAGGTAACGGGGGCCGGCCAAGGCTTGCATTGCCGGCAGTGGCATCAGCAGTGGTGTGATGGGGCATCGCCTTCCCCTGATCACCAGGTCACTTCCTGCCTCTGAGGGCTCCCGGACTGCAAAAGGGGGCAGGCCAGTCTGAGGGACCCCTACCACCCCTCCAGTGCATACATTTTCACGCATCGGGCCTCTAGTTTCTTAATAAAATTAGAATGTGGCAACAGATTCAGGCAGTATAATGAATAGAAAATCATGTGACTTTGAAGAAGGCCCATTTGGGTTCTAATTCCAGTCCTACAATTTATTGATTATGAGATACTAAGAAAGTCATTAAACCTCTTTGGGCCCCATTTGCCTTTTTTTAAAAAATGGTGATGGTGGCAGCCCACTTCCCTTTTCTCCCCAGAGTACAGCTAGATGTCATTTCATGAAACCACACGATGATACCCGAAATATTTAATAATATTTAATAACCCAAATGACACCAGTGCTGACCAACAGAGCAGATACATCGGCCAGTCAGAAGGGTCACCAGCGGTTAAAAACCAGGGAGGCTCCAGCCAAATGTCTGCTCTGCAAAATCACATTCCTCCAGTGGCGTGAATACAGGGACGGCTGCTTAGATAGAGAATAAAGAAAGGTGAAATCCAAGAACCCCCCCTCCCCCCAAAAAAATGCATAGCTCAATAACTCACAGGAGCATTTTAGTAGTGTTTTCTAATTTATAAAGTACTTTCACAAATATTGCTTGAGTTATCTAAAATAGTGCCTGGGAAAAAAACGGGATTGAATGTTCTTAATTCATGTCCATTAAATGCATTTATAATATGCAAACACAGTTGCTGCAGCTGAATAATGGGGTAAGAAACAATCCCTACTCTAGTAAGCTTACATTCTACTAGAGATTTAGACAAGATATAATTGATAGCTCCTTTTCTAGATTTGTTTTATTACATGATAGCTAAAAATTGTTTGTTATAGTCAGTAAATTGGGCCTGGGATTAGAACCCAAATCAGCCTCCTCCAAGTCACATGCTTTCCTATTTATTATGCCACCTGTATACACTGGCAAGTCCTGTTTCTGAATCTTCACTTGAAACACCCACCCTGATCAGCCCTGTGCTTTTTTCCAACTCCTCCTGGACCATGCACATCAGTCATCTCCTCCCTCTCCCACCTTCAGCTTCTCCATCTTTGCAGGTCCCTCTTTCTTCCAAGTCTAAGGACTTACCCAAGTCTTTTTCATCCTTAGTTTCATTTCCTACATCTCCCACCACCTGCTGGCCCTGCCACACACACACTAGAACCTACCTTCTGCCATCATCACACACCTGAAACTGCTTCAGTAAGTCAGGGATTCTTAACCAACCAGCCCTAATATTAGATATAATTTATATGAACTAATTACCAGGCTCTGAACATATATTATCTTATTACTCCTCAGAAAACCTCATAAGATATTATGATATTTCACTTTTCCAGATGAGAAATTGGAGGCTCTGAAAGGCTATATGACCCTGATTTGCTCAGGATCACACAGCAGTTAAGTAGCAGAACTGGATTGGAATCAAGGTTGGGCTTACTGCCAAGCTCATGTTCCTGCCACTCTGCTACAAGGCCATCATTCAGCTCCCATCAATCCCTCCTTTCCACGGGCTCTCAGGGAGATTGGCTTGCCAAGTGAGGTACCGGATCACCAACAACAAAAATGTCTAACACCTTTTTGGGGGGAAGAGGGAAAGACTTAAATACAAACATCTAATAGCCCATATCTTTAACCTACCTTTAGACCTCCTCTCCCTGAATAGTCTAACTTTATCTGAAAGGTCACTTAGTCTTGGTGAATGAAAGGCCCCTATAAAGTCCACCAATCCAGAAACAAGAAGGAAGGACAGGTTAAGGAGGCTTCACTCAAACCATCTCCCCTTAAGTTTCTCCCCCGTCTCTTCCCCCCTGGGGACATTTTCCTTTCTACAACAGATCCAGTAGATTGGAGGGAGGCTGGCTTGGCCAAAGACCAGATAGGATGCCCATTTTTTATTTTCAGTCATGCCAATGTCCTGGTGAGAATCCCTGCACTCACTATGTCCCTGTGCATTTGCTCTCCGGGAGTGCAAAGAAATTTTATTGAAAGAGGTCTGTTCATGGTTGCATTGTTGTCACATGCAGTGACCTTCATAAATAGCTTTGGGAAAGTCATTTGGGAAAGGGAATAACAGGTGATTGATTTTTTTTCTCTCCTCCTTTATTGGATTGTACTCTGATTTGCTATACAAAGCTGTACAATTTCCTGGAAATGTGTTCACACATACCTCCCAAATACAAGCAAGGAGGTCAACGACCCAGTGTTGAAATGGACCAGCCTGAGATCTGCTTGGGTAATCCAGCGGAGCCATTTGTCCTTTATAAGAGGGCAAATAGTGGAGGGCAGCAGGAAGCCAAGCAGAACCCTAAAGTGCTAAGGCAGAGAGAGGAGAGACAGAAGAGATAAGAGGCTGAAGAGGGTTAACATCAGCCTCCAAGTTAGCTTCCAATTCTTGGTGAACCTCCCAGAGGGAGACTGACAAATCATGAAGTTAATTGCCATCATTTTCCTTTGTTCCAGGCTGTTAACAAGTTTCGCCCACCAGGACCAACCGCAAGTAGTTGACTGCAATGATGAGGATGTATTTAAGGCTGTGGATGCAGCTCTGAAGAAATACAATAATGGAAGAAAAAGTGGCAACCAGTTTGTATTGTACCGCATAACCGAAGTCATCAAGACGGTAAGAGAGTTGTCTTTAACCTTGAGGTCATTTGGGATTTGTGCTATCACTTGAAACCAGGACATACACACACACACACACACACACACACACACACACACACACACACACCACATCACACAGAAAAAACCTGATAATTAAAGTTAGAGGCTTAGAAAAGACCAACCCTACCCTCTGTGCTGGGACTTGGGCAGGGTATGACTAGTCCTCAAGCCTCCAAGGTTGGCCTCCTGGGTAATCAGAGTACTGGTATTCTAGGCTGAAATTAAAGAAAGGTAGATGGAGTCATTTGAAAGGGACTATGTAGAGTGGGCAAATCCAGGAACTCAGGCCACAGCAAGAGAATTTTCTGGTGACCGGCCTTAAACTAAAATATAAAGACTTCCAGACCTCAAAGTGGAGGAGGTCTTTAAGGGGGTATGACTAACACATACTGTATAATCTCATACATAAATGGAATCTAAGAAAGTCAAACTTAACAGAAGCAGAAAGTAGAATGGTGGTTGCCAGGGACTTTGGGATGGGAGAAATGGGGAGGTGTTTGTCAAGGGTACAAACTTTCAGTTATACAAAGAGCCTGGTAGCTTAGCTCAATGGATGAGCGTCAACCTATGAACTAGGCGGTGGTGGTTCAATTCCCGGTCAGACACATGCCTCGGTTGCAGGCTTGATCCCCAGTGTGGGGTGTGCAGGAGGCAGCCAATCAGTGATTCTCTCTCATCATTGATGTTTCTATCTCTCTCTCCTTTTTCCTTCCTCTTTGAAATCAATAAAAATATATTTTAAGAAAATAAAATGAGTAAGTCCTGGGGGTCTAATGTACAGCATGGTGAATAGAATTAATATTACTGTATTGTATGCTTGAAATCTGCTAAAGGGCTAGATTTTAAGAGTTCTCACCACACACAAAACAGGTAATTATGTGAGTTGACAATATGTTAATTAGCTTATTTGTGGTAATCATTTCACAATGTATACATATACAAATCATCTTTTCCTATATCTTAAATATATGTAATTTATTTATACATCAATAAGTATACCCCAATAAATATACCCCAATAAATTATACCTCAATAAAACTAGGGTGAATGAGGGACAGTGGGTATGTCAAGAGGAGTCAGAAAAGAAGTTAATACAGTTCTACTATATTAGATAAAATATCTACCATGAAGTCCCAATGGCTGAATGCATCAAGGGTAACAACAAGGTTCTAGTTGGTTTAGAATATTCTTTATCACTGATGGATACACTCAGGTTGAAGATAAATCCTGACAGGATGTGTGATTCTAAGAAATAAAACTGGATGCATCAAAACTATTAGGTTGGGGGGATGGAATGGAGGGTTTAGTTGTGATTTTGTTGTTGTTGTTTATATGAAAACATTCAGAATGATGAAGCTGAAAGGGAAAAAAATCAAAATCAAACAGCCTTTAGCTTTATTTCTCTTTAAAGTTAATCATGATCTCTTGATAAAGGAAAGGTTAACCAACTGGGCTCAGCGGACCATCTTCTCTCCAAGGACATCCTGGGAGGAGTTTGCCTGGGTGGCTTTGAAAACAAGCAAATCAGACACAACACAAGAACACTTAAAGAATTTATATGGCATCATGTATCTCTGTGGTGGTGCATTCCACAGGATGATTGCATATTTGACACACTGCCTTGTTGCATAACTGATCTATTTATTTCCGAATATAGATATCATAATGTCATTGAGGGAGTGATACCACAGGACATTATAAATACGTGGTCCCATGGATGCTCTTTTTTGCATTGTCCTTGACATCCCAAACCCAATGACTTTACTCATATACCATGCCTCTCTCCACCAACTTTTTCCACCTCCTTTAATTCATTGCAGTCCCTGTTTTCCACCTTTTGTTGTTCCAGTTCAAACAATTAACTAGGGAGACTAAATAACTACCTTGATTTTCTTCTTTGTGGTCTTTTTCTGAAAGTCGGGGCCCAGTCTTTGGCTGTATCCGTATACTGATCTTGGACACTGTAGAAAAAGCATCAAATAGGATCATATGACTTGCTGTCCAGCCTTAGTCAATAAACCTGTGGGACTTTTAAACAAAAGTGCAGGTGTAAACGTCCTGCATCCAGCATTGTTGAGCTGTCATCAATGTTCTTGTGTCTGTTTTACTGTTATAATATTAGGTAAATATGGAAGCAAAGCCATTCCACAGGGTCATTTTAAAAAAGGAATTCTGGTTCTGTTTTCTAAAGAAATTTAGAAATTCTTAATTTGGATTTATGTATAGTTTCAGCTTTCTTCAGCTGCCAGTGTGTTATCCATCTTTAGCCTAAAAACCTGGCATAAGAGATTTTTGTTTGTTCCCATATGATCCTCTTAGACCCTTTTATATTTAGAAAATTAACATCTTTCTTTGGGGGAAATTCTTGGTTATTCTGCCATAACAGAATATGTATTAACTTGTAGATTCAGTGGTTCGATACCTATTTAATCACATGCTGATATTCCAGAAGGATTTCTTGCATTGGTGAAAATAAAGATGAGACACAGGGGGCATATTTTTGTTTTTAATGTATCCTGTTTAGAAACTAGAAGTCTTATGTCATGCAAAAGAAAGCAAATTATTTTTAAATGGATAAAAATCAAAGTTACAAAAATACAAGCTTTCAATAGTTTGTTCAAATGAATTTCACTATGTCTCTGTGATAGTTTACTTCGGTGGAAGAAAATATCCATCCATTTGACATGATGAGATTAAAGAAAAAAGCCCATTGGGCTTTTTATTTATTTATTTATTTATTTATTTATTTCTGAAAGTAACATTGAGCCATTCTGATTTTACAAACTAGTATAGTCATGTGAGTCCTGGTGGCCTTGGCTATGTTTTATTGGTGGCAAATGTGTTGTTGTTGGGTATTTTTTCCCCTAAAATGTCCACAGAATCACTGTCACCTACTGCTTTATTAAATCTGAGACCTGAAACGAACCTCAGAACAATCATGTTTGACTCCATCATCTCTCAGATGCAAATACTCTGAGTGCAGGCTCTGAGAGAGCACTGCCCCTGGACTCAGGAGACCCGGGGTCTGGGTTGGCTTTGCCTTTCCAAGGTGGGAGGCTGCCTAAGCTCTGCCCTCTCTGCTTGGGGCTCCTTTCTCTCACCTGCAAAGTGAGGGGCTGGGCAACAGCACCTCTCAGGTCTCTTGCTGCTCCACCATGCCCGGATTTTGCATCTAAAAGCTCATCTAACTCAGAATCTTAACCTTTAAAATTTTTATTTATTATTTTATGACATGTTAGAAAAAAATAGAAAACAAAAGAAACCAAATAAAAATACTAAAATTACCCATAACTAATCTCATCACCCAGAGATACCTGTTAACATTTTTTTTCAAAAAATGAAAGAAGAAAGTACTCATGTTTTTTGTTTTGTTTTCTAATTGTAAAAGTAATATATTTTTTTTTTCAAAAAATACTCAGACAATTTAGGAATGTTTGTTTAAAGAAGAAAGTAAAAGATAACCATACACCCACCACTGAGATGTGACACGTTAACAGTTTTGATGCATTAACTTTTCAGGCTTTTAAAATTATATATGTGCATAAAAATGGCTTCTACAAAAGTAGGCTAATACTACATATCCTATGTTATTTGAAAATACATGTTTATAAATATACTAGAGGTCCAGTGCACAAAATGCATGCACTTGTTTGGGGGAGTCCCTCAGCCACACCTGCACCCTCTCTCAGTCTGGGAGCCCTCAGGGGATGTCTAACTGTCGGCTTAAGCCCAGGACATCCTTAGTGCTGCTGCGGAGGCAGGAGAGGCTCCCACCACTGCCACTGCGCTCGAAAGCCATGCACTCAGCTTCTGCCTGAATGATGCTTCCCTGTGGGAGTGCACTGAGCATCTGCATTGAGCGTCTGCCCCTGGTGGTCAGTGCACATCATAGCGACTGGCCATTCCACCATTTGGTCCATTTGCATATTAGTCTTTTATTATATAGGATTATGAACATTCTTCCAAGTGTTTATAACATTTAGTATTTTTAGTAAATGATTTGCTCTTGTTGAATTAAATCAATATCAAATTTTCATAACTGCACCAAATCCCTCTCCAATGGTCTGCTGTTGTCAGTTGAATGAGCCCTATGTATCTTTGATTGTTTTTTTTTCCAGGGAGACCGGGACATATTTTATTCTGTCAAGTATGAAATCAAGGAGGGCGACTGTCCTGTTCAAAGTGGCAAAACCTGGCAGGACTGTGACTACAAAGAAGCTGAGCAAGCTGTAAGTGTGATGGTCTGGAGCCTCCAGTTTTCTCAATCAAGACTGCGAAGTTATTCTATTAGTGCTGGGGGTGATGAGTACTGTGGAGCCTGTTTGTGAGGGGTGCACATAAGTGCTCAAAGGTGTAGAAAAGTCAAATGGTTGATGTCTATGTTCTTGCACAGACAGAAAGGGCATGAGAGGCCAGCCATGAGATTGGAGAAAACCCTCCCATGAGGAGGGGACTCCTATGACCAATTGGGTGCTCTATTTGTGCAGACCTGAGTTGGAATTCTACTCTGCCCCTAATTAGCTGACCACATTTAACCCATGGGCTCCCTTGTAAGAGGTAAAATGAACCTAAATTGGAAGATGAAAGGGGATACATATGAAAAGACCTTGTTTTAATAACAAGGTACCTTAACCAAATGCCTAACATCTCTATGCCAAACCACAGCTGGTTGTTTAGCCTTATCTGAGGGAGCTAACACCCAGTATATGCCAGGAAGGAAGCCACTCTTTCCACAGTCTATGGACTCACCTCTTTATTGTGTCAAAACATTATTGGTGGAAATGGGGTGTCCACTGGTGGGAAGTGGGGGATCTGTTTCCCCACAGGATGTTGGGGGTCTGGGCCTCATGGTATCTTGAGAAAAATAACTTTCTAAGACTCACACAGAAGATGAGAGATCTTTATTTGTGTGGAATTCCATATCTACATGTCTAAAGTCCCATTTCCCTTAAACCAGTCCTAAAAGAGGTGCAGCCAAACCAATGTCCCAAGTTTCCATTCCATGGTGGAGCTGGGTCTGGCACAGCACCAGGCTAGTTCCCTTCCATTAGTCCATTGTGTGTGGGGGGGTGGGGGGGAGGGGACATATGGCTGTGGGCCATGCGAGTGCATGCAGGGGAGTGTGTCCTCTGCAACAAGAGAGCCAGGAGCCCCAGTATGCAAGAGAGGCAAGAGAGAGAACTCCTTTGTTTAGGAGTTTAATATCTGAAATCTTCCCGTGATTGCAAATGGCCACACCGACTATGTTCCCAGGGCTGACTTACAGACAACTATGTTCCCAACCTCACCCAGACTTTACTGGGCCTGTGTCTTATGGTGGGCGCTCTGGAGCTGAGGTCTCTTCTCTGCGTCCTGCAGGGAGAGGGAGACGTGAACTGGTTCATACAATTTAGGAGTCGCTTTCGGGATTAAAGAATAATGAAAGTCAGACATAAAATAGATGAAAAGCTTGGGCTGGGTGTGGTGTCTGCCCTCCGACTGGAGGGACAGACAGAGAGAGCCTGCCCTCTGATGGAGGGACAGACACAGAAAGACAGAGCACTGAAAGCTGTTTATTACATACTCGAATTACAGGAAGTTACAACACATCTGGGTAGGCCTTTGGCACCATGAAATCCATCCCCTAAACACTGGGTGGGAGAGTCAGACTGTGTGGTGTCCAATCTCTTGACTGGGTTCCACCTTCAGGGCGTGGCTTTGCCCCCACACTGAATTTCAGCTGACATAAATTAAGCCAGAGTGTTTACTAATGGCCCTTAACAGTGTCTATTTGGCCTTCCCTTTGCTCCTTTTCAGTTAATAACGAGTTATTACAATGGTTTCAAAAACACTGCATCCTCTGTGCAGCTGAACCCTGAAGTTGAACTGTAAGAGGAGCGTTTGGCAGGCTAGTTTTAGGGCACTGTGTTCACCTTGGTGAAAAAGAAATATCTCCAGTGCTCCAAACATAACATTATTTTAAAACCTCACTATCTATACTGCCTCTCCTCTGGACACCTCATGAATATCAATGATTTGTAAATAATAATGATTAGGCTACAAAAACATTCATTCTGGTGTCTCAAAAGTCTGTTAGAAAAGAATCTTAAGTTTTAAATAAGAGAAAAGCCATACTTACTAGTAGCAACAGCACTAGGTGCACTTCTCCTTCTGAAAGATTAAAATAAATGGTCTCCTTTCTCTCTCTTTCTTTCTTTCTTTCTTTCTTTCTTTCTTTCTTTCTTTCTTTCTTTCTTTCTTCCTTCCTTCCTTCCTTCCTTCCTTCCTTCCTTCCTTTCTCTCTCTCTCTCTCTCTCTCTCTCTCTCTCTCTCTCTCTCTCCTTCCTTCCTTCCTTCCTTCCTTCCTTCCTTCCTTCCTTCCTTCCTTCCTTCCTATCTTTCTTTCTTTCTTTCTTTCTTTCTTTCTTTCTTTCTTTCTTTCTTTCTTTCTTTCTTTCTTTCTTTCTTTCTTTCTTTTTCTTCCTTCCTTCCTTCCTTCCTTCCTTCCTTCCTTCCTTCCTTTCTTTCTTTCTTTCTTTCTTTCTTTCTTTCTTTTTTTCTTTCTTTCTTTCTTCCTTCCTTCCTTCCTTTCTCTCTCTCTCTCTCTCTCTCTCTCTCTCTCTCTCTCCCTCTCTCTCTCTCTCTCTTTCCTCCCTTCCTTCCTTCCTTCCTTCCTTCCTTCCTTCCTTCCTTCCTTCCTTCCTTCCTTCCTTCCTTCCTCTCTTTCTTTCTTTCTTTCTTTCTTTCTTTCTTTCTTTCTTTCTTTCTTTCTTTCCTTCCTTCCTTCCTTCCTTCCTTCCTTCCTTCCTTTCTTCTTTCTTTCTTTCTTTCTTTCTTTCTTTCTTTCTTTCTTTCTTTCTTTCTTTCTTTCTTTCTTTCTTTCTTTCTTTCTTTCTTTCTAGGCCACAGGAGAATGCACGGCGACCATAGCAAAGAAAGACAATATGGAATTCTCCGTGACTACCCAGACCTGCCACATTACTCCAGGTAGCTGATATATAGGGTGGCGCTGCCCTGGGGGGAAACGAACAATTTCCTGTGGGGCCAGGAGCATAACCTGGACAAAGCCCTTGCTCAAAGGGCAGTGGGTGGCTATGCAATGCCATTTGCAGACTTGGGGGTTGGGGGTCTTTGGTGGCAGAGTACTGAGGTGGGGCCAGGATCCTGCCAATCACCCCCAGGCCTCTCTCTGGACAGCGGCACTGAATTAGGTGTGTGCAAAGGCCCTGGAAAGGACTAGAAACATGCCACATGCTTCAATTGTGGGGTGTAGTAGAGCCAGAAAAGCACAGGCTTTGAGGTCAGATCTGGCCTGCAATCTTTCAAAAGATCTTCACCTTTTTGGTTTCCTTTTTCCTTAAAAGGGGATCAGAGAAATTCTCACTTCAGAGGGTTATTGTAGACTGAAACTAGATGGCAGGCTTGAAGTTAAAGCATAATAATGAATTAACGATCATCAGAAAAGTAATCATAGCTGGCATTTATTGAGCAGTTATTAATAGCCACAGTGCTAATTGTTTTATATATGATGATGATTTATTTAATCCTCACAACAATTCTATGGGGCAAGTGTTAATATTCTCATTTTACAAATGAGGAAACTGAGTCCCACCACAGTTAAGTATCTTGCCCAGTATCCCATAGCTGGCAATTAGCAGAGTTGGTTTAGTAGATCTTGTAAGAATGGAGCAACTTATGCAGATATAACCACTATTGGCACCTTCCCTTTGGTGGCAGAGTGGCTGGGTGCAGAAGGATGGACACATCTAGGGGATGTCAGTCACAAAAGCCAACCTAGAACTGGCCTTTTGCAAAATAGGGTTTTAGTAGATGAGGCTCCAGAACAGCATCCTCGGCCACACTGGTGAACATCAGTGGAGGAGCCATTGTTCTGTCATGGCCTTAGTCATCCATAAGGAACCCACAAAAACTGTTTCTTGAGTTTCAGCTCTTGCAAGAAGTGGCATGCAAAGAAAAACAGTCCAAAGCGGAAATCACAATTGTTTTAAAAAATTTAGGAGCAGCTTTTAATTATTTAGTTTAAGAACTTTAACTCATTAGCAAATTTTCACATGATCAGAACCCAGCACTTATATACTATGAGAGGAAAAGCTCTTTGCCACACCTTGTAGATCCACAATTACTACTAGGTCCACAATCCCTTAACTGAAACCTTTTTGGACAAATATGTTTCAGAATTCAAAATTTAAAATCTTTTCAAATTTTTAAAAATTCTCCCTAGAAATTTTGGAGCAGGATGGAAAATCATTCCATTGCCTGGAAAAAATTAATTTGTATCTTTCACCCTCAAAAGACTGTGCCATCTCTCCTTTACCCCAGTCAGAGCTGCCCTTGAGGTCAGCATACCAGCCTCTGGTCTCTATTCCCTTCCACCTCCCCTTCTGTGTTCATCAATCTTTTGTCCTGCCGTCAGTAATTATCTCTCCTTTCCCATGTAAGTCCCCTCCAGTTTCTTAACTTTGTCCACTGCCCTGATGCATCATACCTTCTGCAAGGGGAGAGCAGTGAGGAAAGCTATGAATATTCACCCAGCAAATCTTTTTTCTGACACACACGCTTATGGAGTGAGTGTCAAGAAACAGCTGCAAGGGGAGTTGTGTTGAGGGACACTGTTGTAGAACACTGTTGGCCTCCTGATTCTGTTTGGGTCCTACACACTTGGACAGTGAGAGCCCAAGGCAAAGGGGCCCAGGATGCCTTCATGGTTTCCCCTCTATAGCATGTGCCTCTACTGAACAGCGGGTTAAGGCTATCTGTTATAAACATGACTTGGTAACCTAATACAAGCTCACTCCTGTTTTAATAGTTTACGTTATTTTATTAAAACCCAGTCAGTGGCACCCCATCTTTACTGCAGACCACTCTTAATTGACTTCAGTGTGTCTATGCACACCCTGAAATTATATGGAGAACATTGTGAATACCGGCATATTCCTGCAGAGGGCGCCATATTCTCATCAGGTTCACCAAGGAGCCCATGACCCTTGGAATACAGTTCATAATCCCTGGACTCCAGAGAGTGGCCTGGGCTCCACAGCAGAGGACTCTCTATTAATTGTCCAGACCTCAATCGCCAGTCCCTGCCTCCTGCTTTAAGCCCAGTAAAAAGTATACACCGCATCCCACACGCTGCCCCTGACTCATCCTGCTTTCTTGAGAGCCATTCCTCCCTTTGTTCCTCCTTCTCAGGCTCACACTTTATGTTGCCCAGTTGACCTTGACCACTTTACACCCTTCTTAGCTCAGGCCTCTTCTCCTCATGAAAGTCTTTCTTGAGCTCACTCTGGGCTCCTGCCTTCCCAAGCTCTTGCCGAATTATTTTGAAATATCCACCTGCAGTTCTGTCTCTCCCACTCCACTTTGCCCAACACCTTCACCACTGCAGAGTCTGACCAGCAGCCCCTGAACGATGCATGAACAGATTATTCAGACACAGTTTGACTGTGAGAGAGAGGGCTAAGGGGCTCCTGGCTCTAGGGGCCAGAGCAGCCTCCATTGCCTGCCTTGTTAGCTTTTTCTAGCAGATTTTATCTTTACATACAATCAGTAGGGTGAGTAATCTTGGGAGGACACAGGTGTTTATATTGTCATCTATGCAAGGGCATCCAGGGATTAAGCATAAGGAGTCCAGTAAACACCTGGGGTCTGTATGTAATCAGATTTGTTTGGGAAGGTCAGAAATAATTAGGGGAACTGCCTTGGACACTCCCCTATGTCTCCCCTAAGTCAGAATTTCGACCAAGAGGGGAGGTGGCCTTCCATACACTTTTCTTTTATCAGAATGTCCTCCTTACAACTTTCCAACCAAGTCTCTTGTGCTCTCCAACACACCACAGTTACAAGTTAACGTAACCACACAGTCTAATTCTGCACCTGACATATTACAGAATGAGCAAAGTATGTACATGTTTGTTGAAATTAATTGGTACAAAACATATCCTGAATGAAGCTTCAAGGAGCTTTATTTAACACTGAAAAATAAATAACATTATATCTGTACTGTTTTACTATTTTATAAGAGGATAAATTAATGTATGATGTCTGTAATTGATAATGATTTCTAAAGAAATTTAAAATAATTATGCACAATAGTATGCACATAAGATGTTCCTAAGTCAATGGTAGGTTTTTTTCTCCTCTGACCAAAAAGCAGTCCCGTGTTCTCTTTTTCTAATACATACTAGAATTTACTAGAAAGTTTGTTTACCAAGGTCTTTGAAATTATGTTACTTATTTAGGACAATATATCTGAATGCGGGTTTTGCTCATTAACGCTGCCCTTTTGCCTACTCTCTCTTTGTCAAGCCGAGGGCCCTGTGGTGACCTCTCAGTATGACTGCTATGGCTGCCTGTACACCATAAGAACTGTCCCCCCGGACTTCGACCCTGTTCTGAGACATGCCATTGAACATTTTAACAACCACACTAATCATTCCCACCTCTTTGCTCTTAAAGAAGTAGAAAGGGCACAGAGACAGGTTTGTGTTTTAGTTTCCTTTTCTCACAGTATTGTTAAAATTTGTTGGATCTTTATGTTTAGGGTTTCATTACCTAAAATAAACCATTGGTCAATAGAAAACCTATGATTCCATGACTGGTGGTGAGGGAGCTCTTTTATGTCCTCATCTGACTGGCATAGGAGGTACAGAGCTTTCTCTTGAGTCAAAGTGATTGGGGTACTGCAATATATAAAGGGCAAAAGTGTGGCTAATCAGACCCCTGGCTCTGAGGCTGGTTTTAATGAATGGGTAGTCAGAAATACATGTTTTTCTTACAGATGGTGAGATGAAAAGATCATTCTAGCCTTAAGGTTTTAAGAAAATTACATTATCACTTAGCCAGCATGAGTCAAACATGGCTCCAAAATATGCAATGGAACCCAAACAGTTGTCACAGCTTTCTGAGCACTCTCTAAATTATAGTTTTCATATCATTAAAAGAAAGTAAATACTTGGAAATCTGGCCTTTTCATTGACCCAGTTCACAAAGTCTTTAATGACAGTTGACTGGGTTCCTTGTATTTCATTGTCTAATTATGAGGGACTTACTTTAGTCAGTAACCTTCCCTGCTTTTAAAAGACCGTCCAACTTCCCTTCATGCAAGAGCATGTTCTACTCAATTATGTTCATAGCCAGCTATCGGGGTGGGACCAGCCCAAGATAAAGCAGCACAAAACTTACTGCCAGTCTGTCTGGGAACCTGAGAACTTACCAGTAAAGGCCATTCTAGCTCCAAAGTGTTTTTAACGTTCTAGGGGAGTATTATTAATATTTCACAAAATTCAAAAGGACATTATTTTTCTGTTGCCTGGAAGAGGAAATATTACTAGGTTTTTCTTAAGAAAATACAGTAACTCCACCTATATATTGCTTTTTATTTTCAGACTAGACGCCAGGTGCATGAAAATTCATGCACTGAACAGGGGGTCCCTCAGCCCTGCCTGCCCCCTCTCACAGTCTGGGAGCCCTTAGGGGCGGGAGGCGACCCGGTGATCAGAGGAAGGTGACACCCACATCGGTGTTACCCCCATCGGCCAGCCCTGGTTACCTGAACCTCGGGTGGCCCTGGGCAGCTTGGTGGCTTGGCAGCCACCATCCGAGGCTTTCCTGCCCCTCAGGCCTGTCCTGAGTGGCTGGGGGCCTGAGGGCAGGTCCAGCCGCACCATGCACCTGCCGCGCCCCACCCCATGCCCCTGCCAGCTGGGCTGAAAGGACTCCGGCAGGCCAGTGCAAGGAGCGGCTGGACCCACTGAGGACTGGTCTGGTGCACCACATGCCTGCCACCCGCCCCGGCAGGGCTGAAAGGACTGGGGGACTTTGAGGGGACTCGGCATTGCCATCTTTGTGCTATGGGTGCCTTGATCTTTGTGACAGCGTGATGGTCAATATTCGTATTCCCTCTTTATTAGATAGGATGTGTAGGAGTGTGTGTGTGTGTGTGTGTGTGTGTGTGTGTGTGTGTGTGTTTGTGTGTTGAGGAGTATGAGAGTCATAAACTGCTCAATATTTATTCAGTCATGACTTTTGCCTGGTACTAAGAGTTTATATATATATATTTTTAAATATTTTATTGATTTTCCACAGAGAAGAAAGGAGAGGGATAGAGAGTTAGAAACATCAATGAGAGAGATTGATCAGCTGCCTCCTGCACGCCCCCCACTGGGGATGTGCCCGCAACCAGGGTACATGCCCTTGACTGGAATCGAACCCGGGACCCTTGAGTCCGCAGGCTGACGCTCTATCCACTAGCCAAACCGGTTCGGCAAGAGTTTATATTTTTGAGTACTTGCAATATGCCAGGCAGTATTCTAAGTTCCTCATAACATAGTGAATAATGTTTAAACTGCCCTTTAACTATTCAACATTGTTTCAGGTGGTGTCTGGATCAAACTATGAAGTTACTTACTTAATTCAGCAGACTAATTGTTCCAAGGAGAATTTTACATTCTTAACCCAAGACTGCAAGGCCCTCTCCAATGGTGTAAGTAGGCAAAAAATGATTATAAAGTTATTAGCATTTGGTGTCCAGTATTTGCAGGTGGGGAAATACTCAGCTACACAGGAAGACTTGGTCACTAAGATTTTAGATGACATGCATGAATTCACAGCCACATTCTCCAAGTCACTAGTCAAGCTGCCTTACCTACCTGGTCAAAAGATCTGTACATCTGGCAATAAGCATTTACAGATATAACTGGGGCTTGAGATAAAATGATTCCCTGTCAAGTTTGTCTGTTCATGTCTTCACACTTTCCTGTCTCCCTTTCTTCCCACCTGCTTAAGGTCCTTCCCGGTGCTCCTGAGCTCTGTGCAGGACACTCCTTAACTTCCAACTTGCCGTTGCTTATTTTCTCCCACCCCTTTCTTTATTTTTATTTTTAACTAGAGGCCCGGTGCACGAAATTCTTGCACTTGGGAGGGTGGGTCCCTCATTCTGGCCTGTGCCCTCTTGCAGTCCAGAGATGTCTGACTGATGGCTTAGTGGGCATTAGCTGTCAGTCAAACATCCTTGAGATGGGAGAGGCTCCCACCAATGCCACTGTGCTTGCCAGCCATGAGCCTGGCTTCTGGCTGAGCAGGCTGAGCAACACTCCCCCTGTGGGAGTGCTCTGACCGGTCATTCCATCATTCGGTCATTTACATATTAGCCTTTTATTATGTAAGATACACTGTAGATGAGGCCCCCTAGAAACATAAGAAATGCAAAAAATTCACTGTTAACTCATTCTCAAATTGCCCCCACCTAAAATCAGATTGCCTCCCCCCACCCTCCACCCCGTGGGACGTGTGCTGCACCTTGGGAACCACTGGGCTTGACACTTTTCTTCTCTGAGCTTCATTTCTGCATACGAATATACCATGGGAATTGTAATCTCTTCTCCACCTACCTCACTGGGTTGTCATGAGGAGGTTCTGAGCTAATAAACCTAGAAATGTTTCATCAAGTAAGTGATGTCTGAACGGGAAGGGATTGTTATTTTTAAGCCCACGGGTACCCTCACAGGTAGCAGGTGCTGATTAGGGGAGGAGGGCTTGATTGTTTCCAGGGACTGTAGCTATGGAAGTTTTGCAGATGGTTCCACAGGCCTTGGAGGGGCAGGCTCTGGCTAGCAGTCCTGTAGAGGTGGTCGTCCCTTGAGTCCCTGGTGTGGGGTGAGGTGCACTAGGAGGGCAGTGAGGCTAAAGGGGGAGTAACTGTCAAACCTTCCCGCTTGCTGCCATTCTTTAAATTTTACCTGGCTGTTTCGCAGCTGTACCTACTCAGGGCGGGGATCCAATCTCCTGGAGCAGGGTTGGGACCAGGCTAGGGCGGAGCCAGGTGGGTAGGAGGGCGGTTCTGTGAACTTCCTGTGCAAAGAAGGTGCTGCTGTGGTGGTGGGGGAAGGGTCTGACCCTGGGGGGCCGCGCAGGCCTGCCTCCACCTTGGTCTGGAGTTGTAGGGAGGAGAGGCATACCCAGCCCCAGTGGAGGGGGCCGGCTGTGATGGGCTGGGGGCCCTGGGGGCGCTGACGGGTGGTTGCCATCTTGCTATTGTTGTGGGCGCCCCTGGTGGGGGTGACGGGGTAATGATCAGGAGTCAGAGGTGCGAACTGCAGCCACCCCCGAGGCTGGGTCTTCTCCCGTCTGGTCAGCCTCCCCATCCCCCTGCGGGTGTGGGGGCTGGGGTAGGGTGTCCATGCAGGGGGATTGGAAGAGCTCCCTGTGGCTGCTTCCTCTTCCTTCTTTGCAGTTTGTGCTCCTGTCAGGCAGTCTCCTCAGAACCCTGGGAATTTGGCTCCAGCCGCCCACCCCCTGCTGAGCATGCATCAATATGCAAAGTGGTCATTATGGGGACACCCTCATGGACAAATTAGCATATTACCTCTTTATATGTATAGATAATGCATCCTGAGCCCCCACCACTTTATCAGAGCCAAAATTATGCTACAAGAGAGTATCACAAGGTGGCAGTAGTTAGTGCAGGTGCAGATGCCTAAAGCACAATGACCATCCCAGGGATATTTGTATTGTAGCAGAAAACTACTTTAAGCAAGGGATTGCTTCAAGCCCTTTAATCTGTTATTCTACTTCTACAATTCTATTCTGTGGGAAGAAAATGAGAAACCCAGACAGAAAGAGTATTGTTAGTAGTATTATTATTAATATGCATTATTATTATCAGCATGATTATTAATATGTTGGAAATGTTTTCAACATTAAGGGATGTTTAAATAAGTTACAGTATATCCACACAGTAGAATAAATGCAGCCATTAAAAGTATGTTTACAGATTTTTAGTGACTTAATAAAATGGTTATAATATGATAAGTTAAAATATATATAAAATTATAGATACATATTCATTTAAATATATAAAATAAATGTAAGTATCAAAAGTGATGCAGGGGCCCTGGCTGGTTTGGTTCAGTGGATAGAGCGTCAGACTGAGGAGCAAAGGGACCGGGTTCATTTTTGGTCAAGGGCACATTACTCGGTTGCAAGCTCCTCTCTGGCCCGAGCCAGGCCCTTGTCAGGGCGCATGCAGGAGGCAACCTATGGATGTGTTCCTCTCATATCGATGTTTCTCTCTGTCTTTCCCTTTCTCTGCACGCTCTCTAAAGTCAATGGGAAAATATCTTCAGGTGAGTATTAACAACAACAACAAAAGTGATGGAGGGGAGCATTTGAGGTCTTGCTCCCTGTAATATGTTGTCAGTTTGCCTCAAGCAAACTCATAAAAAAATATTAAGTGATGAAAAAAATATGCAAAAATATAAAACATAGTTAACTTTCAGTTGGAACTATGGGTGCCTTTGTTTGATTCTTTATACTTTTTGGAACTCTTTAGTACTTGCCAAAGTTTCTAATCAAGCATGTATTTATTTCATAATTGGGAGAAAAGTTAAAAGGATACTACTAAGAGAGTGAAAAGACAACCCAGAAAATGAGAGAAATTATTTGCATCATTTATCTGATAAGAATTAAATATGCAATATGTAAATAACTACTATAATGCATCAACAAAAAGACAATCAACCTAATTTTCAAATGGGCAAAGGACTTTAAAATAAACATTTCTCTAAAGAAGATATGCAAACAGTCATTAAACACAGGAAAAGATGCTCAATATAATTAGCTACCTGTGGGGGGGGCGTGGAAAACAAGCCACAATGAGATGCTATTTCACACCTAAAAGATGGCTATAATATTTTAAAAATTGGAAAATAACTAGTATTGAGGAGGACATGGAAAAATTGAAACCTTTGTCCATTGCTGATGAGAATGTAAAATGGTGCAGCCACTGTGGAAAACACTTTGGTAGTTCCTCAAGAAGTTGCACATAGACTTACCATATGACACAGCGATTGCACTCCTAGGTATGTACCCAAAAGAATTAAAAAACAGGGAGTCAAACAGATACCTACATGCCAGGATTCGTTGCAACATTATTCACAATAGACAAAAAGTGAAATAACAGAAATGTCCATCAACAGATGCGTGGAAAAACAAAATGTGATGTATATATAAAGCAATGGAATGTTCTTTAGCCATGGAGAGAAATGAAATCTGCCACAATCTACAACTTAGATGAACCTTGAAAACATTATGCTAAGTGAAAGAAGCCAGACATAAAAAAACAAATATTGTATGATTCCACTTGTATGAAATATCTAACACATGCACAGGAACAAAAGTAGATTTGAGTGTACTGAGGGATAGGGGGAGGGAGAATGGGGATTTATTGTTTAATGGGTACAGAATTTGTGTTTAGGGTTATGAAAACTACTGGAAATAGATAGCAGTGATGTTTAAAATGTAATTAATATCACTGAGTTGTACTTAAAAATGGTTGAAATGGCAGATTTTATGTTACATATATTTTACCATATTAAAAAAAATAGTAAAAAGGAAGAGAGAGAGAGGGAGGGAGAGAGAGAGAGAAACCCTCTCAAAAATGTATGCTCTAGCTCCTATTTAACTTTGTTATTTTTAGTCATCTGGCCTTTAAAGCATGTATTAACACCTTCTATTTTATGTTCTTTAGTTAGCCATTTGAGATTATATAGGCTTCAATGTTATCTGGATTTAATCTACCTGCATCTGTTTGTAAGGCCTCAATTTAGTTCCCACTTTGCAACACACACAGATGCAGGGCTGATTGGCGTCACAAATCCAATCAGATTTCTTGTATAACTTCTCTGAGCTTCCTGATTTGTAAAATGGTGAGGAATAACAGCACCTGTCTCACAGCGTTGTTACAATAATTAAAGGACACAAAATATACATGAACTCTCTTGCCTACAACTGGTAAGACTGAAGGCCTTGCTACTCCAAGTTGGTCCCTGAACCAGCAGCATCAGCATCACCAGGGAGCTTGTTAGAAAAGCCAAATCTTGAGTTCCCCCCACACCTACTGAATCTGCACGTTAACAAGATTCTCAGGGAGTCATTTGCACTTTAAGGTTGGAAAAGCACTGATTTAAGAGTTTCATAAATAGTTCTTGGGCCATACTGAATATTAGAATCACATTGCCAGCTTTAAAAATAACCTCTCTTAGGCCATTCCCCAGACATTCTGATTAGGTCTGGGGTGGGTCTCTAGAGTCAGAATAACCTAAAACAGTGGTTCTCAACCTGTGGGTCACAACCCCTTTGGGGGTCGAACGACGCTTTCACATGGGTTGCCTAAGACCATCGGAAAACACATATATAATTACATATTGTTTTTGTGTTTAATCACTGTGCTTTAATTATGTACAATTCATAACAATGAAAATACATCCTGCATATCAGATATTTACATTATGATTCATAATAGTAGCAAAATTACAGTTATGAAGTAGCAAGAAAAATAATTTTATGGTTGGGGGTCACCACAACATGAGGAACTGTATTAAAGGGTTGCAGCATTAGGAAGGTTGAGAACCACTGACCTAAAAGCTTCTAGGTGAATCAAATATGCTAATAGAATTGAGAACCTCAGAGCTACTTCCAGTATCC